ATATGACTACAACAGCCATAAAGAGGCGTCCATCATCTGCGGCCAGTAGGGAGGGGAATGAACTTTGCATATTTCATCGGGTATCCTCTCTCAAATGACTAAAAGCCATCCAGAAGTATAGATTTACTCTTCGTGTAGCCATTAGTAGCAGCACTAACTGTAAAGAACCCAAGCACCGCACAGCATCGGTACCGGTATTTCTCTCCCCAAAGTCAACCTGGAGCTCGTCTGAGTCGGTTGAATTACGCCACGATTCGTTATGTTCAAATGTGTGAAACGACTTCGTCAACAGACATGTCAACCAACTACCCAATTGGACCCAGCCAACTAGGGGCTGGCCCAATAGACCCTCTGACCCGCAAGAACACACGAAATCTTCCCTTGCTCTACCACAATCCGATTGTTCAGTATTTCTGGTGTGGATTATCTGTTTTGATGGAATACTGCGCTAAGTTGCTATCTAGCTAGGAGAACACGACGATATACCTGACCTGAAACATGCTAGTCCAAGATAGTCTGATGTGTGCAACCTCCAGGCTGACTAATACCGTAACATCTTCTCTTTCCCATGTATGCGTCTGGGCGCAGGGGCGAGGGACATCGATATGATGAGTTACTCGTTGGTTAAGACATTTCCTGAAGATGATTCAAAGTCGAAGGTTATGCCGCCTTGGAGCCTAAGGAGGCATTTCATCGGGTTGCGGAGTGCTTCAGAAGCTTGCTGCGCCCTCGTAAGAAGCAGCTGAGTAAAGGCTATATCAATGAGAATAGGGAGAAATCGCCGAAAACAAGTGTATCGCACGTTGCTGCTCTTAAGAAGAAATAGGGGCACAAGGCCGCTAACGAAAGCTGCTCGCAATGTTTTGGTGTTCAATAGGAGGCAAAAACACAGCAACAGCTATTCGCGAGTGGTGATCGACCCCAACATTATGTTTTTAGTGCTTTGCTTGATTAGATTTAAGCAATTAGAAAGCCTTGCCTGTAGAGAATCACACTCCGAATGATCATCATGATACTCTCTAAATTGCTTGTACGCTCACAATCGAAGATAACAGATACAGTAAGTAACCGATATCAGTTCAGACACTAGCGACCAATCGCATTGAGTTGAGTGCTGTCGCTCGGGCATTTGCAGAAGGTGCTCTCACAGCGATGCGGGGAGACTACACATCACAGCACCAGCTTGCCCGCACTATGGCCTGCTCACAAGGCAGCCTGTCAGGGTTGCTCAAGCATATAGAGCAGAAGGCAAGCAATCATACGGTAGCTCTATGGGATGAGATACTTTATGAGAACGATCTGGGACGTGGCAGGAGCAAGCTGTTTACGCGTTAACAGAAGGAACTCATCATCAACATCGCTACAGCATCACGCAACGCACGTGAGAAGGAGCCATGGCTCGCTATTGCAGATGGCAATTTCAAAGACGTTGTACCTAAAATAAGCGTTACAACGTTTGAGAACGTCATGTATGAGGCTGGGTATGCCCGGAGGCGTCTGTTGAAGTGGTGCCTTAAGCGAAGCTCGTAGACACTATTCGATTGGTTCTCGGGATGAGCAGAGGTACAAAAAGCCGTCAGGGGTTGGTGACTATCGGTCGGGCCTGTAATAGCCTTTGTAACAGTCGGGTAGTTGTCTAGTTAAAGACCGTGGCGACTGGGAGCAATGAGTAGTACAGAGTATACTGTCTAACTCGAGAGCGGGTGAGATTCCAATAACAAAGTTGATTGACGAGGTTGAACACAATGCCATAAGGGCAGCTTGTCTACTTGCTATATACTTGAGCAGGAGGATTGCTCAGATCGCTCGGTACTGAGTATACTGATCGTACCGAGTATACTAATCGTATCGAGTATACTGCTCGTACCGAGTATACTGACGCGGCCTAACTGCTCGAGTTGCTCGAGTTGCTCGGCTGAGATTGATGATCATACTGAGTATCGCCGACGCGGCCTCACTGCTCGGTTTGATCGATACTAAGAGTGTTGATCATACTGAGTATCGCCGACGCGGCCGCACTGCTCGGGTCAATCGATACTACAGTTCCTCGGCCCCTCTCGTATCGTTGCGTAGCCCTGTTCGTTCAGTGTTGTTGCGGGCTGCCCTTTGGTCGTAACAGGCTGTTGCAAGAAGTACAGCTGTCAGGTGGGGCAAGTTGCCAGGATACACAAAGCTCTGCATGTAACCGCACAATCATGCACCCTGAGAACTTGAACATGAACATAACAATCATCAATCAATCAATTCTGAACAACCCTTTCATCTGACAGATAGAGCTTTAAGAAACGTTGGGCACTGCTTAATCGCTCTCAATTCTCAAAAGTTGACGTCTGCTATACTAAGATGTCTGTGCGTCGGAACACCCGCAAGTCACGGGGGACTGGTATTTCGTTAACGATAATAGCGCGGAAGAGCCAACTGGCCCGCGATTTTGGAACACGTCACGGCGCTGGTAGCCTCCTTCTTTCACCCACACCACTGCGCTCTCAATTCGCTCGTCTTTATGCGGATCGGTCCGCGGGCCTGCCAGGTGATGGTGAGATGTCAAACAACCTTGCAATAATGAGGGAGCATGTTTCCCGTTATGGTCACGACCCCACAGCCTGCTCTTCCCCAGTCGTTCTGCGCAGCCCAACCACATGTTTGCCCGCAAAGAGCTGTCACCAAGCTACCGAATGCAATCCCGGCATGCCGAACGGGATGTTGTCCGGGGCTGCGACTTGAGATGCATGCCGTTCGTCTGCCTGATCTTGGTCGTTCTTCCACCACCCGTGCGAGCTGAGTGGCTGTGTTTCATCATCAGGCAAAAAGTTGGCGAACGTCACATGAAGCCTGCAATCTCCGCCTTGCTCTAGTCCCAAGAATTTGTCCTTTTCCGAGGGCGCAGCCCATCTTCTGGTTGGACGACGTAACCGGTGAGAAAGTCGTTGCTGAAGGACCTCTCACGCCAAGATTGCAAACACCTGTTTGATTCCTCACACGCGCACCACGCTGGCCCCGCCACCGTTGCAGTCGAGAGGCTAGCGCAGGTAGTCGAGCATCCCCGAGCAAATGGAGGTCCTTCAGGCTGTGGCTGGCTGTGAGCGTTGTTTAAGTGGGCGATGATAACGAACTCCTGACTCAAAGCTGATGTACTAGGATACGTCATTGCAGAGACGACCCAGCAGGCCTTTGACTACAGTGCATGCAGGTACACGTGAAACGAGTATGAATAGAACTGAGGCTCTAAAAGTTCTATTAGGTACGGACAATGCCAGCCTGTGGAATATGTGAGCATCCTTTTTCCAAGCATCACCTAGCAGAACCAACCTTACGTGCACCATTTATCGACTGCTGCTGGTAGCAGCTTCCCTACGAAGTTTCCTCGTTCTTACAAGCCATGACTAGCGCTGGGGCGGGGGCAGCCTCGCAGATCCACTGGGCGCAAGTCCGCAATAACGAAAAGTACGAACTGCCCAGCCTTCTCGCATTGTTCTATCTGCTAACAGCATCAGTCTCGGTCATGTCTCAAAATATCCCTTGAACCGAGTTACAGAGCAGCACGCTGCTCACTTCTACAGTCGACAACACCTACCGATCGAAGAAGATGTCTTCATTCGCGGCGTCCTCGCGCTTCGATCACAAGACGATATTGAAAGCGAGTTTCGAAAGTTACTTCGTGCTGGTCAATGGGGGCAGAATACGAGACTGAGAATCGGTGAACACAGATACTCCAGAATCGAGACTGAGGTTCTGTACAATGCTTGGATGAGTGGCAAAAGAGAGACTCTGTGGAATCTATCAAGGCTGCATCGACTTTTGATAGTTGCCTGCATATACGCTGCGATGACTCAGTGGGTTCATGCGTGTCCCCCGTCATGAAAGAATGCTAACATCATATTAGGGGTTGGGATCAAGCAGCTATGGCCGGTACAGTTCCAGTCTTGCATTTCGAAGATTCGTGGCTGACTTTGCTCTAGGTGCTGCGATTGAAGTCATGAACAACCTGGGCAAATCCACTGTCACAGGTCCCTCCTCCGGAACCGCCAAACGAACGACCAACTCCAACGTCGACCTCGACAAGAATACCTGGCTTCTTGGAGTCACCGTTGGTGTTCCATTCTTTGCTGGTGCCGTGTTGGGCTTGATCATCACCGATCCTATCACCAGATTTCTAGGGTTTGGTCGGCGAGGTGCGATCTGCATCGCGGGTGTCTTCAGTCTCATCTCGGTTGTTGGTTCAGCTGCTGTACATAAATGGGAACATCTTCTCGGTTTCAGAATACTACTCGGCGCTGGCATGGCGGGCAAGGCATCGATCGTCCCTATACTCCTGTCAGAAACGTCCCCCAAGAATGTGCGCGGCGTTCTTCTCGTCTGCTGGCAGCTGTTTGTGGCCTTTGGATTGGCTGCTGGATCTGTCGCCAACCTGAGTGTATATCGTCTCAATATTCAATCGAGCTGGCGGTACATGTTCGTTGCAGCATTTCTGCCAGCTCTTCTCCTACTCTCGTTAATTCTGTTCTCGCCCGGTAAGTCTGAATTCAAGGACCCACCATGGCGTAACTGAGGCTGACCGATACAGAATCACCACGCTGGCTTCTAAAGGAGAGCGGGGCAGCCAAAAGTCAAAGTGGAGACACAGCGCAGAGTCAAAAGCTTATCCGAGACGCCTACCTATCACTGATCGATTTGCGGGGCGAACCTAGCCCGATACTAGCTGCTGGCGAAATCTACTTGATGCACACGCGGCTCATTGATGAGCAACACCGGCTCAAGGACGAATTAGCCAGGACTAGACCAACGACATTACCAGACGAAGGGCCAAGGGCTGAAAGTCGACTTGTGGGTGAAATAGAACACATTGGATGGTGGCCAAGAGTCAAACTAATGTTTCTCTACCCCGGCTTTACAAGACGAGCCCATCTAGCTGCAGCCGCGGTCATGATATCGCAACAGCTGTGCGGTATCAACCTGTTAGCTTTCCTAGCTGACAGGTTCTTCCGAGACTCCATCATTCACCATACCCAAAACACTACACCGGATGAGAACATGCAGTTGCTAGGCACCTCATTCGGCTTCATGTTTCTCAACTTCTCGGCGACCACCATTGCACTGTTTCAAATCGACAAACCCAACGGAAGGCGCACGCTCCTCAACTGGTCTTTCCCCGGCATGGCAATATCTTTGTTAGGATCTGCCCTGGTACTCACAAAGCCGGGTGAGCGTACCGCAGGCGTCATTGCGGGACACTTCATCTTCCTGGCGCTCTTCATGATCGCATACTCCGCAGGAGAAGGCCCCGCAGCTTTCGTCATATCAGCAGAAGTTTTCCCGCTCGTGAACAGGGAACTTGGAATGAGCCTCGCCGTGTTTTGGAATTTCATGGGCGCGGGTGTTCTGGCTGTGATCGCTCCGTGGCTGTTGAAGGAGCTTGGCCAATTCGGAGTGCTCTTGCTCTTTTCTGGAACCAATCTGTTCGCATGGTTCCTCTGTTCTTGGCTTATTCCGGATACTGGCATCGAAGCTCTGGAGGATGTTTTTGACCGACTTGATATCACGACATGGTTTATGTTCAGGTACACAGTGTGGAAAATACTGTGGAGGGTTACCAAGCCCTTACACTGGTGCCTTAACTTCAAAACCACAACATGGTCCGAGGCTGGTTTTGGGCGGAAGCCTGGATCACCCAGGGATGAGTTTGATGAGTCGAAGCCGAACACTCAGCATACTGATGGGGATACTGCATCACAACCCGAACAATACGAGATGGATGGGCCACTTATCACAAATGGTCACGCAGCTGGGGGGGTTTAATTCTCGGGGGCGAAGGAAAATTGTCGCTCTGGAGTATCCGGACCAAGCCTGTGGAGTGCGCAGTCTACACCATTTCCATCTCCGAGGTGTTGTCTGTCGACTTGTCGTATTGAAGTGAACTGCTTTCCTCTTCCAGGTAGCTTCTCCGGTACGTCTGCATCCTCCATCTCCAGCAAGCCAAGGTCATGACGGTAAGGGGAACCGAGATGACGAAATAGAGCCATAGTTGTTTCGACACTAAGAGGTTGCGGGACTCAGAGTCGAAGTCCACAAGGTTCATACCGAACATAGTCTGTCAATAGCTCAGCATTCGTCGTAAATTCTAATGTAATGATAAACTCACGGCAACAAACGAGAAGGGCAAATAGAACGAAGTCACGAGTGTGATAGCTCTAATCGCAACAGAGTCCTCGCGAGCTGACCTGGCCATCTGGAATGTATTCTGACTCTGACCCTTAGCGAGCTGCTGGAAGCCCAAGTTCAGCGAGTCCAACACTGATTGCGCAGTCAGTTGAGCCCGTTTCTGAAGATATACGCTCCGGTTCCTATACGACATAGCTTCTTTCCGGAGTTCCTCGAAGCTGTGGTGTATTGCTAAGCGTGCGTCTTTGTTGTTATCACCTTTTTTCGACAAATGATCTCCAGCTCGTTGTAGGTCGTGGACCAGCTCGTCAAACGACGTCAACAGAGGCTCCACCGGTAGGATTCGCTTTTCGATCGCACGGACTTCTTTGAGAGTATCAAAAGTGACCAGTGGTTCTTCCAGAACAGTGCAGGCTGGCTTCATATCCTTCTCATTTGTCAGTACAGTCCCGAACAGCTCCGCGGAGATTTTACCAGTTTCAAGAGCAAAGCTTCATGATCTTCCAGGTAATCTCGCCAGGACTCGAGATGACTTGATATCAACATCGTGTGTATTATCGTCGGAGTTGAGAGTATCGTAGATCTGACTGATGATTGTTGTAGCATCTTGCGCAAGTACTGGCTGAAACGTGCGATTGGACTCGGATTCACGATCACCAATGTGGACCTGAAGTCTTTTATGTTGTAGACATGGTAGACGCCTGTGTGCCGGATGACCCATGGGTTACCAGACTTCACTTCTTTCTTCTCGGGATATTTGTAGACCCAGCCGAGCTCTGTTGCTTCCCGTCAGCTAAGATGAGATGCACGTAAACGGGTTACTGGCCGGATTGATCGGTGGTGAACACCGCCCGCGAGGTGCCGGCATAAGCTTCTTCAGTCGGCAGGTATCGTGCATGAAAGCTGCCAAGGGTCTTTAAAAAGCCGCAGCCAATTTTGTAATGATTCATCAGGGTAGCGATCATGTCCTGACTTGCATTGAGAGGCGCCCATGTATGCTGTTGATGAAGATAACTGAATATCATACTTAGTCACAACAGATACTAGCTCAGAAGATACCTACTAGATATCTACCCCACTACCAAGACTATTTCGTCTAGCGTTGCGAAGGTGATTTGACAACTGTAACGCGTCTGTGAAAGCAAATGTGTTCGGGTCGTGCGATGCATCAGACCCCAGTTCCATCAGCTCAACCAGATGCTTCTCCTTACGTTTGGAGAACATTCGAGTATTGTCCAGGACATGCGATCGTAGCTGCGTTGTTGATAGAGCAAGTGAACGTACATCACTTGGATCGTGACTGTCGGGACCATTGGTGAACATTGCGGCGGGGACGGATTGGCTCTGTAAGTTGTGGGGAGGGGTACAAATTCTCGGAACTTAAAACGCAACCCAACTTTCGCTCAACTACGTGCTTATATAGCTCAGTATGCACAGCCGAAATGTCGTCAGGCTGTGACAATGGGTCCCTGATCTGCCCCATCAGGCTGACAAGATGCCTCAGTCTTGCGCTTCGCTGCAAGTGTACTCCGTTAGCACACACCGGTCGCGATGTCATCAGTTGTGTCTGCTCACATCCACTCGTCCTGCAGGCGTTAGTGGGACCTTTGAAGCTTGATGCGTGGGTAAGCCACTCACGTCTGTGAGTTCTCTGGGAGCCTCGAATGTAAAGAACCCATCTTTGACCTCGCTAATTCGGAAGTTCTTGCAGTTAGGGAATGTCGCCTGAAGGAACCTTAACAGCCCTCTTCGACTGTAATAGCGATCGTTCGCCTGCAGTCGGACCATAGTGGAGGAAAATCGGGATGTAATCTTGTCGGTGCCGCGAGCCTCACACGGCGTTATATACCACTGTAACCACGTTGTACAGAGGCGTGATGTAGATAACAGAAATGAAGTCCGGCGGCTATGTGCTGGCGAAACCATTCGAGAAATAACCCCCAAGGACTGTTGCCTTGTGAACGCTGGTGCATGCATTCGATGCGCGGAGTGGCATCGTAATTGGTACAGTGTCCATACAGCCGTGCAGCTGCAGCGCAAACTTGCAGGAGCCCGGCCCTGCAACTGGTGTTTTTGTCACATGGGTGGTTGCCTCGCGGGACCGCCCCCGCCTTCCAAGGCTGCCCGATCCCATCGCCGTTGACATCACACGAATGGCCTCCGCCAAGCGAACAACAACAGGCCCCGTGTACCTCCACGCGCGGGAAGTGCACCATCGCGCGTTGCAAGTTCCACCGGATACATGCCGGAGCTTGAGACTCGAGCGCACGCTGTCGTGTATCAAGGCTGCATGATCAGGCCGTCGATCTCTCCAGAATCGCCTAGATTCAATGACCGCACTGCGGAGGCCTTCATCACCGCGCTCGAGCACATCGTCCCGGCGCCCTCGCGACATTTTCGAACAGCACCTCTCGGAAGAAATCAGAGCACGGATCGAATCCACCATAGTAGGAGTTCCAGATAACGAAACCCAGATACGGCGTTTCTTACCCAAAGGTGATCTCGCGGCCATACTGAGCGTACAAGCACTCAGGCCGTACCTGAGGGAACTACTCGGCGAAAGCACCGACAACCTTGTCGACAATGCCCTCGATGCGATAGTTGGAGATTCAACACGTGATGGATCTTCAAGAAGAGCCCTGCTTGCGCTCTTTCTTTATCACAGGCGTGCAGGATTGCTCTCTCTTTTCAGGGACTGGCTGCTATCACGCCAAGATGATTTTCCCTCTGATGGACACCTGCCCTTCAGCCAGCACAGCCTAGAACAGGCTAGAATACCATCCCAATATCACGACTACATTAAAGATTATCAGAACATATTTATTCCAGTCACAATTAAACAGAACATTTACCAGACATTCAAATCAAAGGAACGATTGCCCTACATCGGTGCACCTTTGGCTGTTCAAGATGGATCATCGGGAACTGTCTATACGAGAAAAGTCGCACCACGTCACTGGGAGGAGAAGCTCGACAACGGCCGTTATACACCGGCGGAAACAACGAAACCAACAGTTTTAGCTCTGAAGGTCTTTAGCGGTGGACGTACCGGGCAAGATGCTCAGACGAACTTCGAGATCGAGCGCAGCATGCTAGAGGATCTCCGCAATAGCAACTTCGCTCACAGGATGATATTGTTAGATTGGGGGAGCTTCATCATCCAAGATGAGGAAGCTCGAGTGATTCAGCACTGTTTGATATTCGAGTGTGCGACCTACACCCTCGAAGAGTTCCTCGTCGGCGCACAAGTAGCGCGGACGCCCTGGACCGGGAGTTTGTTACTTGCAAAGGTTGTCGATATCGTGCAGGCGTTAGCGTGCTTACACGACAACTTCGACACCTTGCATCTCGACATCAAACCCGACAACATCCTGGTTTTCGATAGACTACGCAGTCAATCAGACGACGGCAGTTTGAGTGAAGCTAAATTCGAGTGGAAGATCAGCGACTTCGGCCTGGCTCGCAAGCGCAATGCAAAGGAACGAACAGGCCCCTTATACGATGCGAATCGCTCAGCATCTCACTCTGGCTCGCTACTCGCAACAAGGCCTGCGGGCAGGTTTCAGGCTCCGGAGGTTCAGCAGCAGGGATCCAGCAAAGCAAGCCGAAGCAGCGATGTGTGGTCGATGGGATGTGTCATCCTCATGGTATTGGGTTTAGTAGTGGACAGTCCAGCAAGAGTGTTAAATTTGTTAGGCCGTTTGCGAGTGGAATTCCAAGACGCAGGGGGGATCGACAGCTTGTTCTATGTAACAAGCGACTCAATTCCGTGGAGATACGTGACACGGTGGGAGTTCTATTGCTACGATTACCTGGACAAGCACAAGCCGGTCCCCGGAGTCATTCCTGATGCACGACAGACTCAAGCAGCGGTGCACCCCGAGGTTGTGGAATGGTCCAACGAGTTGTTTCGCTACTGTCACGACAAACCAGAGCAGGCAGTCTTGAAGGAAGCGCTAGGGGTTGTATTCCTGCGCATCCTTTTGATCGAACGGCATTCTCGGATTGAGGCGTATCCCCTGAGCAAGCTTCTTGCCCATGTAAGGGACCGTTGGATCAAGATGGAAGAGCCTCCCGAAGGTCCCAACGAATGTGTGATAGAGCCTGAGAGCCCACAGACCCCGGCCTCTGTCCAGGAGAGAGATAGCATCCAAGACGAAGAGAACTCCACGCGCCATGCGCGGCCTTCATCGATTGGTGGCACCAGTCAACAGCAAGCATCGTTCGAGCACCAGATTGCCTATAGGCAGAGGGCAAACGGCTCAATCAGCGAAGTACCTGCCCACCAACGAGCAACAATAGTTCAGACTCAAGCTACCGGGCTTTCTATTGGAGGAAGTCAACCCAACGATGAAACGCTTGATTGGCAACAGCAACATGTGTCAGACCTTGTTGTTGAGCCCGTTCAGCAGAGTCCAGTGCAAAGACCTGCTGCTCAGAGTCCTGTTGCTCAAAGTCTTGTTGCTCAACGCTCCGTGTCTCAAAGTTCCGCAGGTCAAAGTCCTGTGGCTCAAAGTCCGGTGGCTCAAAGTCCCAGTGCAGAATTGACACAAGATCCCTCACACCATTCCAAACTGTGCTCGGCGATCACGCAAATGGGTTCCGCCAGTCCACAGGAAGACCCTAGGTCATGGGAAGGCATCCAAGACGAGCTGAGAAGGGACAATGACCAAGTAAGAAGATCTTGCCCCCAACCTAATTGCCAAAGGCACCCTATCCATGTGGCCATACGCAACAAGTCGTACGCGGCTCTCCGCGCGCTACTCATGATCGCTGATTCAGAGGTCCTGGATATTCGCTGTCCTGGTTGTGGGGACCGTACTGCTTTAGAGGAAGCATGCGAAAGGCCCGGGGATGCAAAAGCACTAAAATGTTTCAAACCTCATCTGAGCAAGTTTCGAGTCACTAGAGAGTTTTACGATAACCATAAGAACTCTTTAAGTCGATATGCAAGGGAAGCTCTGAAAGAATTACATCAGGTTCCAGTGCCACGACCGACAGGAGGGAATCTGCTCCGGAGAGTCTTCACGAGCAAATCCACCTGAAGCGAGGCTTGGCAAGTTGGAGAGATATCTTTGTTCAACGCATTAGGCCTGCAGTCAGCAATGAGATAGCTGCATGAATCTCAATTGTCATACCTCAAGGTCGCCGAAAGTAATGTGAGTATCAGGTGGGAATGTGCTGAGTACTGCCCGCTTTCGAGCACACTTCAGGGTCTATCTGAAGGTCCACAGTCGTCGAAAAGCGTTTCAACTATAGAGATGTTCGCAAACAGGTGTGCACAAGTATCTGGAACCTCTGTGCCTTTGCCAAGACATGTCAGTTCCGGCAGAGTTCTTTCAATACTAGCGCTGCTGTGTGCAACATAGGTGGATGGACAATTGCTCGATCTCTCATTGACCTCTCTCAAAGTATGTTACAAGGTCTGCAGTCTCGCTGCTTGGTGAGTCTCTTCATGAAGGCCTTGGCCCTAGTGAAAAAACAATGAGGCAGAAATAGATGCTCGATTGGATGCAACCATTCTTGTTCCCATTGCTCCAATATTGGGCAAAAGAAAAGACCTGGCAAAAACATACAACAGAGGGTATTCGCTAGTGGTCACCCACCTAACTACTAATTGAAACATCTGTAATTGGTATTTTGATGTAGATTAATCTGTATTATACTTAGGACGCTAATAATGTACTAAACAAGCGGAGGAATCTGATTGTTGCGTTAGCCGCTGGGATTATAAAGTAATATTACCACTCAGATGCGGGGCACCTCGTAGCCCGCCTGACAGTATATGCTTGTTGACATCTTGAGTATGTACTTGTTATTCCATAACTATACCGTTAGATAGAATCAAATGCAAGCATTATACCATGTTTTAATCTCGCATTTAGTTGTAGTAACCTAGCCTGTGCCTCTTGCGAGCTTCTACCACACTTTAGTTGGCCTGCAGCTGCCTTCGTTTAGATCCTAAATCTGTTGACTCCACCTACTGTACCTACACGCTTACATTGTTTATTGACACTTGACCTAAACAACCTGTTTGGCAAACATTTTTTTGGGTCATCCTTTGCGTCTTCACCCACACCGATGTCGAAAGCGACGTCTCTTGACGCGAGCCACGATTCATAAGCGGTCATGCAAGGCTGCAGCGGTGCGTCATCATCAGCCGCACAACTCGCAGCCTGGCAGCTGCATACAAGTTGTACCAGACCTCGCAACGCAACCCATCGACTCCAATACAACAGGCTCTGAGCTCGGAACGCACTGCGATTTCTCTCGACAACCGTTTCATGCATAGCTTTGCGACCGATCCGTTGTGGAAGTACCTGTCAAACTCATTGGACTGGTGTCATCGACCGTAACGGTGGTCGTTACAACGCAGTATGATCTTCGATTATGAAGCTGAGATGAATCGAGTGAGCTCCGTTCAAGCGTTTGAGATGAAAGCTCGGGGTGGTACGAGCGGCCCTTACGTGTGGGGCATGAACGCGAAATGGAAACATGTGAGGACTGTCTTGGATCCAACTTGGAGATGTCCATACTGTGGTTTTCTGAGCTTTGGTTACAGTGATATTGAGCAATTGCAGAAAGGAGTACGCGCTGGGCGACATTGCTGCAATATTGTATTGGAAGCTGTTCGTGCATGGCATCGGCATGGAACTGGATCGCTCGATGGAGTGCACATCTTCGCTTGGGAGTTGGGTTATGCTGACACAAGTGAGGAATCCGTCGGTTGCAGCATCCTGTTGAGATGGCCACATGAAGAGGGTGGGAAAGACATCTGGACGCCCTCATATGACACGACCATCAATATCTTCAAATCCGGCAAGTCGACCTTCTCAAGTGTTGATGACTCTTGATGACCAGCGACTGACATATTCATAAAGGTCCAGTCATCGATGCGATAGACTTTGTGTCTGGTGTTCCCTTCATCGAACGATCAAGGCCGTCAGGTGACAGCAGCTCTGAGCAAGCCATCCGTTCCATCAAGCGGTGGATTAGCAATTGCTCAAACCAACATCATCGCTACTGCTCTGTAAAGACAAAGAGCCAGCTACCCAAACGAGTCCTCGAACTCACCGAGGGTAGCTTTCATCTCCGCGAGAATCTGAATAATGAAGAGATGTACGCTTGTCTCAGCCATTGCTGGGGTTCGACGGGGCCGTCCTTCACGCTGACTAAGGATACCTTCGAGCTTCTGAAAGCTGGTATGTCATCTGCGGAGCTCCCACGTACCTTCAGAGAAGCAATCGAGCTGTGTTTGCGGTTAGGTATTCGCTACCTCTGGATTGACGCCTTATGTAAGCGAAGCCGATTCTGCAAGTACGGATTTGTTAACAGACTGTGCAGGTATCATACAGCAGGATAAAGATGACTGGAAAGAAGCCGCTGCAACTATGGCGAGTATCTACGAGAATGCCTTCGTCACCATCGCTGCAACAAGATCGAGCGATAGTGAGGGTGGCTGCTTTTCTAGATTACAAGGATTCAGTCAAGCGACACGGTTAGAATCATCTGGCTTGTATGCCTGCAAACGCCGCCCAGATGACTTTCCACGAGCGAGCTACTCCCTTCTTTCGGAAAAGGGGCTGTGGCCGTTGCTATGCCGTGCCTGGGTGTTTCAAGAGCGACTCCTCTCGACACGAGTTATCCACTTCACTGACTACCAGGTGGTTTGGGAATGCCAGTCGATGCAAGAATCCGAAACTGGCGACGTCAGTGACAAATGGATGAAAGACGACTGGAAGTTGAACAGCCGAAGTTCATCCTCGGGACCAGTCGAATACCCATTCAAGTTTCCTCACAAAGATAGCAATCTTGCCTGGCAGCGTGCGGTCGCACAATACTCGCATCTCCAGCTTACATACGTTAGTGACCGACTGCCAGCAATCGCTGCAATCGTCCAGCGAACTATGAGAATTCGGAAGGATGATACTTACATTGCTGGCATGTGGAGGAGCTCTCTACTACACGATTCTGCATGGCATCGTATTGAGCACGGCGAGAATCTCAAACGACCCGATAATACAGCGCCTACATGGTCTTGGGCGTCTGTTCCTGGAGCTGTTGGATTCTATGAGGTCTCCCTTCTTCCTTCAACAGAACTGCTCAACGTCCAATACACAGCGATTGGTCCAGCTCACGTTGGTGAAGTTTGTAATGCGAGGGTGTCGCTGAGAGGATTAACGCTTACCGCCGCGCTGCAGCATGCTGGCATCACACACCGGGGCAGCGAGCGGGACACAATCCTTTACAATCTGAAGCCCAGTTTGCCGACCGGTTATGGGCATTTAAAGCCAATTCTGTGGAGATTTATACCAGATTTCGGCTTGAGTCTAGGTGAACGGCCAGTGAACCTCGACAACTCCTTCTCTATCCTCTTCTTGTGGCACAACTCGAAAGAACACAGGTGGTTCGGCTTGGTTCTACGACAAATTTCAGACACCGACTATGAGCGAATCGGCATAGCTGATCTCTCGTACTTCGATTCCCCTATCGAACGCTTTCCTGGCAGTTCGTGCAAACGGCCGCGACTTGAAACTTGTGCAGACATGATCAACAATTTGCCAGTTAAGGAGTTCAAAATAGTGTGAGCACAACACAAAGTCTTAAAGCTTGCTTGAGGCCTTCGGCGCTCCGATGATCACCTGATTCAGTGAGTACTGCGTGCGCGTTCTTGATCATTCACTGAAATCAAACAGAGAGGCCGGTACACGCACACTAAGAACCTCCATTGCCTCCCTAAGGCAAAGCCCCGCTCACTTCTCACAGCCTGCTTGAAGGATTTCAGGAAAGAAATGAGGTGTCGAGATTGGTTGTGCTGACAGCCCCACTTGTAGCCTATGTTCAATGTGTGCCTTGGCAGCCTGATCACCTCTCTACTTCAGTCAAGATGTCACGCGTCATCCTACAGCTTATCTCCCTTCTCTTTGCAATCTCGAATCATGTTTCCTGTGCTGCGTGTACGTCGTGCTAACTCTCGAGCAATACTTGCCGACACGTACATGGACAAGCCCCAACCCCACGCGGTGCGCTGCTTGACAGCCTTGTGGGACCCTGCAGCCTTGCCGTCGATCCGAAAGCCTAACAGCTGCATAAGATCGGACGTAATATTCATGTAGACGGCGTTCTCGAACATGTATTTCATGGTAGATCAAGGCGGAGACGATAGTCGAAGGTGGTGTAAAGTGCAAAATGTGGTAGACCTAGCGGACGCGTTTGCGGAAGGTTCGCCTGAATGTCGGCGTCTGGGCTGGTCCGATTGCCGAAAGCTCAGCCACCGAGACTACGTCTTCCATTTTCGTCTACAGCATGCATCTTACCAACTGAAGATGTGGTTGAGGCATCAGTACAGCTGTGCGAACTCAACTTTTTGGTGGATCTTGGTATAGGTGAACGGCATCATTGACTGAAAGCTTTCCCCGCTGAAGCCTTTTCCCCACCCACTGCACTAGCGCATCGCATGCCTTAAGCATGGTGAGCAGAGGTGGTCGCTCTAAGGGCTGCTCCAACTGTCGAAAACGGCGAGTGAAGTGCGGTGAGTCAAAATAGGGCATCCATCCATACCGCAATCGAACTTCCACACTGACTTTGTTCAGATGAGACGCGTCCAACTTGTTTACGCTGCAAGAAACGGGGACTCGAGTGTGACGGCCCAAAAGATGTGACATGGATCTGCCAGAACACTGACTTCCAAAGCGAGTCATCCCCAGAAAGCGCTGTAGTTCTGGCAACTCCAACTCCACCGCCACAGCTCTCGTTCGAGGCATTCGGCGAGACAATATGTCTGGCCTACACGCGCAAGAACCTGCTAAGAGGAGGACCGGTCGAATTGGCGTGCAATATGATCGAAGCGAAGGCCGGTACACCAAGCGTGGACAATCCGGGCATCGACCTTCTTCGACAGTCCATGCTTAGTCTTTCGGTGACTTTCTTTGGCAAACAACACCGTCAAAAACAGATCGTTCGTCGAGGATATGCCCAATATGGCGAAGTTTTACGGACGCTCAACATGCACTTGACTCGTCCCGAACTGCAGACCACCGACGAGACTATACTCACAGCACTGACCTGCATGCTTCTTGAGATCTTCCTACCTACCGGTCCAAAGAACTTCTTCAAGCATCATCGAGGACTAGAAGCTATCATGGCGATGCGCGGTCCACCGACCGACGCAACTGGAGATACTGCCACTATATTTCGAGGATTGCGGATCTTGTCAATCATAGGCGCACTCGCAGAATCAAGGCCATCCATATATGCAAGAGACGAGTGGAAATATGCCCCTCCACCAGCCGATGCAACTGAGCCAATGCTGCTGCAACATCACATCTTTACCTGTTTGGCCGACTGTACACAGCTCATGGGTGAGCGCAACACCATACTCGACGGCACCGCTCCGCTATGGAACTACGAACCGCTCTTGCAGCGTGTGCAGAATACACTAGATGATCTCAACAAGCTCTATCCACTATGGCAGCGCTTCAACGCCTCGCAGCTAGACCCCACAAAACCTCTCTCTCCACTAGCCGAGGAGTTGGGCGTCTCAAATCACCACTCAGCCACCGCACTGATGCTCTACCATACCGTACACATCTGCAGCCTCCAGATCATCGACTCACTCGCCCCGTCACCCGAGAACACAGCTCTCCGCAACCAAGCCGCCATGATAATCGCCAAATGCCTTGAACTAAAAGAGTACGAGAAGCGCGAAGGCGCACACGAGTCCAACACCATCGGCTTCGTCGCGACGAAAGTCGCATGGCAAGCGTTAGGCGGCTTCGACTCCCCCGAGGGTCGGAGACTAGCGAAGACAGTGCATACAGCGCTCAATGCAGTCTCGCCAATGCCGCTGGATGACAAGGAGGCCTGGGAGCAAGCACGACCTGATGAGATAAGAGATGCCTTCTTTGCGGGTTTTGTGAAGAGGGTTCCGATTGGGACGCCAGCTAATGAGGCGAGGGTTGTGGGGTTGTTGCAGTTCCCGGAGGGGATTGACATCGGGTACAAGAACTCTGCGCAGGCGCGGTCTGTATCTCAATGATGGTGGAATACCACGGATGGCTATCAATCAGCTTGCCTACGTCAATGTGCGGATTGAACATCACTGACGTAGAACAAGCACCGAAGATATCGGCCCAAGCGCAGCAGCAACCTACCGTCACCGAATACCTTGTCAGCAGCATAGCGACCAACAATTTCATATCCGAACTTTGACACCAAGTGTTTTCCGGATCTGTGGGGTAGGAGGATAAGCAGCGGAGAAGTGGGGCTCGCACTTCCCACTTCACAACTGCAGTGTAAGCAGCCACATGCCAGTGCCGACAAACAACCCTGCATTTATCGTATTCACGCCTTGAGACGCCCCTGATGTCGATAAAGATCGGATATCAGAGCAGTAGAATTGTGACGTACGGAAAAGCAGCAGTCTGAAGGAAGATAAAAAGGTATTCAATTGAAGCTTGAACCAAAACATCACATCCATCTTCCAGCCACTAAACCAAAAGCAATGGCCAAAACCATGAAAGCGATCACCATCTCTTCCCCCGGCGCAGCACCCCAAGTCACCAACAATCTCATCATTCCTGAGCCTGGCGAAGGCCAAATACTCGTCAGATCCATCTACACAGCAATCAACCCCGGGTACGTACCCCTTCCCTTCCCTTCCCTCCCCTTCTACAGCCACTCCTCCCATCACAACAACACCTTGTGCAAGACAACACGCTGACAGCCCACCTCAGCGACTCCATCATGGCCGAAACCGGCGCAATGGTAAAATCCTGGCCTTTCTCCCCGGGCTGCGACGCGGGCGGTATCGTTGTCTCCGCTGGCTCCAATGCCGTCTCGCCGCTTGGTAAGCCTTTCGCGGAAGGTGAGAGGGTGTTTGGATGTACGAGGCTGGGCACGCCGGGGCATTCGCCTTGGGGTGAATATGTGCGTCTTTACCTAATGCGTTGAGAATTGAGTGTGATACTGATGCTAATATGTAGTTCTTGATGGATTCTCGCGTCACCATCCCCGTCCCGCCAAAGCTCACTCTTGCGGAAGCAAGTGCGCTTGGTGTCGGCCTTTTAACTGCGAGCGAGGGAGTGTTTTCTTGCTTGGGCGTTCCTCTGCCCACCTCCACCCCCACCCCCACCTACACCTCTACTGTGTCAGGCGCAAATGAGCCCGATCGAGCCTGGGCGCTCGTCCTAGGTGGTGCGTCCAGCGTCGGTTTCGCCGCGGTCCAGCTCCTCCTCGCAAGCGGCCTGCACGTTGTAACAACGTGCTCGGAGCGCTCAGCACCGCTCTTGCAAGAACGAGGTGTGAGTTGCATCTCGTACAGGCTTGGGCAGGAGGATCTGATCTCGCGCGTCATGATTATTACGCACGGGAAGGTGCGGTATGTTTTCGATGCCGTGGGTCTGAATCATGACCTTGTTGGACTACTTGTTGATGTGGTCGAACGGCATGCTGAGACCGATGGAGGCGCAGAAGCAAAATATGCACCCCAAGTCGCGTTCACGACTACAAATGCTTTCGCTCCTCTTCCCATCGCAAGTAATCTTACTGCAAAAGCGATCCAACTTGGTCCCATCGGCCGTCCAGAGCCGGAAGCGAAGACGCTGAATGAGGCTTTGGCTGGGTACATTCCAGTGTTGTATAGGCTGCTGGATAGTGGGAAGGTGGTAGTCGGTCCGTATCGGCTTGAGGAGCAGGGTGTCGAGGGAATTTTAGGGGCGTGGAATGTGCAGAAGAGTGGGAAGGTGGCGGGGAAAATTGTTGTCAAGGTTACGGAGAAGTAGGCGCGCGAGGTGTGCGATCCGGGAGGGCGGAGGACGTAGGGAGAAGTGACGAGCGTGTTTAGAGACTCTGAGCGTTTTTGAACTAGCTGGCTCTGGAGTCTTGAGTGGGTACGAGACTCGTCGTGATAATCAACAGAGGTAATGCGATCACTGGGCCATCTGGCTTCATCAATTATCGGCGCTCGCCAATTCTCCTCCGTTGTACACACAGTCGCATATCGGGAGCCGTTCGATCCAACCTTGTGTATCATGTCCTAGTCGACTGACGTTATCTTTGTGTCAGCGCCTTCGCAGTTCATGCCTTGCACGAGCATGATATGCATGTCCATGGACGTAGAATGTGGTGGCGTCAGCATAGTTCGTGACCACTTCGCATTGTGGAGTCAAGTTTCCGCCAAGTAGGTAACCAGGACCATCGAGAAGTTCAGTGATGTTGACGAGTGTTAGAAATAGTCGTTCAAGATGATATGGTGCCGGATCCTGCGGTTAGTACGGTTGAGCAAACGTCCCTACGAAGGATAGGGTGCCTGAACTAGACACAAGCCGTCGACGGAACGACTGGTAGCTGTGTTGTACATGACAAATTGAAATGGGTGTAGAGCGGTAGAATAGCTGGAAGGAAGGTTGATGTACAATCTATTCGTCGACTCGAATCAGGAATTGTCGTGCCAAGCAGTGCCCGACGTCCGGCTCTTCTAAGTATACAGGTCGCTATTCATCCCAAACGCTCGGTCGCTGCCTTTACTCCTCGTCGCTGAACTCAGCACGGCCCTGCTTTGAGTTGAGGTACTCGTTCCTGCGTGTGTCAGCAACCCCATCCTGAATACTGCGCTGCTTTATAACGCCCCTACTCCATCGCGACTCACCTCTCAATCGCCCACTGCATGGTGGCGTACCCGACAATCAGCGGGGGAATGAAGTAAAGCACCTGGTTCCGCGAGCGGCGCACGACGTTCCAGAAGCCCTTGCCGATGAAAGTGGCCATGGGACGCTGCCTGTTGGGGCTGAGCGAGTAGGTGACTACGCCCTTGCCGGGTCGGCCACCGCCCTCATAGGGGTTGCCCCAGGAGCCAATGTGCCATCTGTGTGTGGTCAGCCTGCCGCCCAGTTGACCATTGTAGTGTGTGCGGTGGGTGCGGTGTTTTGCGCGATGGCCGGGACAGCGTCGGGCGGCGAGGGGAAGAGCGATTGCGGGCGCGGGGGGCGGACGTACGTGGCCTTGTGCTTTGCGTTGGGATCGGAGCCGCCGCCAGCCATTGTGAGATGTGTCGTCGGGGGGTGGAGGGTGCAATTGGGGGTGGTGGGTTGACGTTGAGAAAGCTGCCAGAGCTCGCGGCGGACGTCGCTTTCGCGCTAGGCGCGCAGACTTGGCGTGGGCTCAATTGAGGCTGACGTGATTGGCTGCACAACGCAGGTCAGGGAATCAACGCAGGCACAGGTTCACGATGTAGCTGAAAGTGAAGTTCTTTTGATGGTTTGTCATGGCCACATTATGGTCGCTGGAAAGGCTGTCGCTCGGCCCTAGTAACTGCCATAATCGTGTCGCGTGCGCATGTCCAGCATCGCAGCTACCTATGCAATAAATTTGAAAACCAGCACGAAGAACAGCACAATGATCAGCACGAACGGCATCATCATCCGCACGCTCTCCAAGTTACCCCTCTCTATGATCTGGTTGTTTGCCTCAATATCTGCCTGGCTATACTGCGGGCGCTGCCCGACAGGCCACAGCTCGCCGTAGCGATTACCGGGCGCCGTCTCGTACAGCTCTCCCTCCGGCGACTTGAATGTATAGACTTGCGTGTCGGCGTCGTAGCCAACACGCTCGAAGCCCTCGGGGAGGCGAGAGGAACCCTGTGACCTCAAGTCAGTACGCTGTGAAAGGTACATGCGGTGCAGGATTGTCGCTTGTTGCGTGCCTCGCATCTACGGCAGTGGGTGGGACTCACATCATCATTGTCTTTGTACGCCATTGCGCAAGTTGTGTGCTGGATGGAGGTGAGTGTTGGGAGATGGTCAGTCCGCAATCAGGCCTACAGGCAATGAAACGAGCGCGGGGAGCTTGGTGAGCAGCAATCAACTGTATGCAATGTAGGTGTAGTGAGTTTAGGTTCAGGATCAACAGTAAGCGCCCAGCATCCACCTCGTACTTGAGCGTGGCAGTGCCGTGCCCTGATCAAGCAGCAGCATGCGACGTTTGGGGCTGTGAGTTCACAAGCGCCTGTTTCGCAAGACAGTCCCACATGGCCAAGGCTTTAGCTCTGACGACGTCCCCAGTCACACGACACCAACGATCCTTCAAGACACCTTCGAGAGAGCGAGTCTCTTGGAATATGGCCAGGATGCTGTTGGATCGTGAGCAAAGACTGGTCATTACATCGGACAGCCCAAATAGCTCACTAGGTACCGCCATCTACCCCTCGCAGCACTGCATGATAATTACAATTTGTACAAGAATGAACGCATGAGCGTAGGTATCTCACACTCTTCTTTTACGATGTCTGGAAACACTGCGCATACTTCGGGGCAGTGAGTTCCCTGCCATGTTTCTGCTCTTTCCTACAACCGGTCATTGTATTCGCCGTTTGCTCGACTTCCCTTCACTGCATCGTGCCTTCCATACGCGTCTGGTCTGTGCGCGCCCTCCACTTTGTACAAACAGCCCAGTCGATCTTTGCTGTATTGTCCCACGGCTATAACCTCGACCCAGCTCTTTCATCATGCTACTCCTCGATCTACCAGCAGAGATCTTTGACATGATCATCAACACCTTTGTTTGCAAGGCAGGCTACCCTGCAGCTGCTCGAGCACGCTATGTTTGCAATGAATTTCAGCTTCATGTTCATCTACTGGCCGCTAGCTCTAAGTTAATAGGGACATTCGCCGATGCCATACATGACGACTTCTTCCGGAGGCAACCACTTGCGACATACCGCGACTGCAAGAAGCCGGCAAACAGGCGTCATCGTGAAGGTCTCCTTGCGATGTATACGTCCTGGATTCTTACAAAGATGAATCCCAAGATTGCTAAATAAGACTATTTGTTCCGTTACATGGACGCCACAGGGGACTTCCTTATGCGCTTCACCAATAATGACACACAACCCCAACGAGACAAGTATCGCAAGGATGTGGGCAACTTGATATGCACTACATTACCGGACGCAGAGGTTTTCTGTTACTTATGGGATGATATTCTTTACAAAAGATACTCGTTGACACAAAAGAGCTGGGCCACTCAGACCCTGAAGGTCTGTTGGTAGCTGCAACGCTATACACCATTTTCTGCCTAGGCTGTCGAACCCGCTCATGCCCAGCAAGATCCTGGGGAGTGCACTCACAGCAGCGGCAATGAACAGTCAGGTACACGCTGCGGCTCTTCTTCACAAGATCTCTACGAGTCGTAAGACCAATGCATCCTATCTTTGGCAAACGATTGCCGCATGCATGGAAGAGGGTCACTCCATGTTCGTGCCTAAACTTCTCAACTGGTTGTGTGATGTGATGCTACAGTTCCGGACGAGCACAAGAAGCGCGAGCTTCAGAAATGTGCCATCTTGACGGGTAAAGTTCCTATGCTCCAGAAGCTCAACGCTCTCTGGAAGGTCTCATGCAACAGTGGGTTCTACAGTCCAGAACTCTGGCAAGCATGCGAATTCGAGACGACTGAAGTAATTGTGCGTTTCACGGAGGGTGCTGTTCTTCAGGAGCATCAAGGTGCCGCGAGCCGCAAGTGCAGTATCAAACGCTTGACCCAAGGACTACGAGTGACAGCTGAGCACGGCTGGCTTGTCACTGCGAGGTTCTTGGTTACCGCAGGCGCCGATTTGAACGACCAGAACAATGAACACAGTAACCACGTAGGCACACCCCTGGACGTAGCAGTCTATCACGGGCACGTGCATGTGGTTAAGCATTTGCTCGACAATGGAGCGCGTATCCACAACAACGAAGAGAGCGCATTTGGCACAAGTACAGCGGCACTAGCCAGCGAGCAGGGCGGTGAAATGGCAACGCTGATTGGTAAGGCCCCGGGGAAGCAGTGGAGGAGCACCACTCAAGAACGAACGAAGACACAGATCACGAGGGTTTACGACGACATTACAGCGGTCACCGATAACATGCGGGACATGTACTTGCGCGGATGATAGCCAGGATGATTTCCATACAGCAAACTTGAATATATACTGCACGTTGAGATAAGGTAGCGACCAACAGGTCTTGGTCCCAATGCTAAGTGTTCAATCCCCACGCGTCTGTGCCGAGTTTCCGTTCATCCTTATAGTCTTCTTTGTACCGTGGAGGCATTCGCAAAGCTATTGCGATGGCATGGAATTCAACTAGCCTTCAGATCGTCCGGCTCAACGCATAGAGCAGAGCGTTGTTCCCTTGGACCGAAGTACTGGTGTGAAGCAGGTTGGGGGAACCGACTGGCGCGATGCAGGAGCGATGATGCTATCCACTGTGGACCGCGAATCCGGGGATAAGGGGCCCACAGCATACGATGACTGCTTCACTGCAGCCTCACAATTATAGGTGGTTGCTGATCAAGGAGAACGGTGTGTGAAGCAAGCAAACTTAGTGCTGCGTCGGTGAATCCTGTCTTACTCGCTCCTTTCAAGGTCGTGTAATGAGCAGGTGGTGTTTGCTCCTCAGAGGCGCCACGTTTGTAGCAGCCACATCGCGCTTTCGTTCTCGGCCATGCAGCAGGAATGCGCCGTGAGCACCTTTCCAGCAACGCAAGCAATTACCGCCGCCGTCATAACTTGTTCAGCTGCACTCGCATCATTGAGGCGATCAACTCCACTTTCACTTCTTTGACGTTCGACAGCACGACACAAACAGTCACCAATCGACGTTCCAGATCATTCGCGCCACTGCACCGCCTCACCTTGCGTGATGTTAGCGCATGACGTAGCATTCGCTAGCTTTCATTGGAACCAAGCCGGCATAAGCTTGCCGAGACTGTAGATAAGGATTACCGACGCCTCACTTCAAAGGCTTGTCCACCTCAGGTACTCCTTCGTGCTCTTCCGCACACACTCACCACAACTTGCAAACACACACCAACCGATGGGAGAACCCGACGATCCTTCTTTATCGCGCAGTGTCAAGTCCAAGACTGCTGCCGCACTTGGCCTGGGACGCAAGAAGGACACCACGCAGCCCGTCCTCCCCACCGCCAACAGCCACACTTCCCCCACGCGTGCTGGCTCCAACACCAGCACTCTCGGCAACGAGAAGCGCGACGAGAACCACAACAATGCAAACGGCCAACTCAATACCCAGGGAGACGGAGCTTCGTCTTCCGCCCTAGAGACTCCCAAGGAGCCGCTCTTCACCCGCATGAAGAACGGTTCGCTCCGCTTCCTCACCCACACCAAAAATGCCTTGACACACAGCTGGATCAATGTCTTGCTCGTGTTCGTACCTATCGGTATCGCCGTCAAGGTTGTCGGCCTCAAGTCCGAGATTGTCTTCTCCATGAACGCCATCGCCATTATTCCACTCGCCGGACTTTTGGCGCACGCGACCGAAGTCGTCGCTGAGCGCGTTGGAGATACCCTTGGTGCACTGCTCAACGTTTCATTCGGAAACGCCGTTGAGCTCATTCTCTTCATCATTCTGCTTGCTTCCAACCAAATCGAGGTTGTGCAAGCCTCGCTGCTGGGATCTATCCTCGCGAACTTGTTGCTCATCCTGGGTATGGCCTTCCTTCTGGGAGGTCTCAAGTACCAGGAACAGGTCTACAACAGCACCGTCACTCAAATGAGCGGTGTCATGCTTGCCTTGGCTGTCATGAGTCTGCTACTTCCCACTGCGTTCCACGCCGCGTTCAGTGACAACGCTATCGCCGATCATGAGACGCTCTATGTCAGCCGCGGTACCAGTGTTATCCTGCTGATCGTCTACGGCCTGTACTTGCTCTTCCAGCTCAAGAGTCATCGCTATTTGTACGCAAGTACTCCCCAGCACATTATTGACGAGGAGTCGCATCCCGGTGTTCTGGCAGGCGCCTTCGACTCATCCAGCTCCTCATCTTCTTCTAGCTCCAGCAGCGATGATAGCGACGGTTCTTCACACTCCTCCGGTACGCTACAGCGCAAGGCCAAGCGCATGGTGCGCAAGCTCCGCCGCAAGTCCAGCGCTAGCTCTAAGGATGGATTGTCTGCCTTGTCTGGTGTAGAAGGTGCCCGGAACGGTAGTGTCGACAGGAACGCTAGCGTCGGCAGCTCAATTCCACGTCATTTCGACGATCCGATTATGAGTGGCGACGAGGCCGACGAAGATGTCAATGCACCTCGCGTTCGAGACTTTGAGGCCGCTTCGCATGCGTCGCTCCCACATACCAAGCGTGAGAAGCGCAAGCACAAGGACAAGAGCAAGAAGAGGCACCGCACCCAAGAAGCTGCAGTCGACGAGAAGGTAGCAGAGCCGGAGCCGAAGCCCAAGGTTGCTTTCGCTGAAGAGGTGCAGCAGAGCGAAGCCGCTCCTGTGACTGGACGTCGTGCTTATCGACCTGCTCTCCCTTCGCTTCTGTCCAACAACGTGTTCTCAAACCCACAGAACCTGGCTCCCGTTGGTGGGCCTGCACCCAACATCCGCATGGCAGCACCCAGGCCACCCCTTCGTCGCTCCAGGTCGTTGCCCGAACGCATGGACCGTACGCAATCGCAGACTAGCACTAACAATGCTAACGCTCCTGCTCCTCTTCAGCAAGCTGCTATCGTTCATGACGATGAAGATGATCACACCCCCGACATGTCCATCAAGGCTGCAATCTTTATGTTGCTCTTCAGCACTGGCCTAGTCGCCGTCTGTGCCGACTTCATGAGTGACGCCATTGAGCCCATGGTCGAGTCTTCCGGTATCAGTCAAGCTTTCATCGGTCTCATCATTTTGCCCATCGTCGGTAATGCTGCTGAGCACGTTACTGCTGTCACTGTCGCCATGAAGAACAAGGTCGATCTGGCCATCGGTATCGCTGTTGGATCTTCCATCCAGATCGCTATCTTCATCACGCCCGTCATCGTTATCTTGGGCTGGATCATGAACAAGGAGATGACGCTTTACTTCAACATCTTCGAGACTGTTGCACTGTTCGTTACAGTCCTCGTCGTTAATTTCCTGGTGCTCGACGGCAGGAGTAACTACCTCGAGGGTAGTCTGCTCATCGCCGCCTACATCATTATTGCTCTTTCGAGTTTCTTCTACCCAGATGGCTGCGACGCGTCTGCGATTGGTGGTAACGAAAATGCATGTAGTGGAAACACCGTTGCTCATGCTGCGCAGATGGTCAAGCGCCTGGCAGGGTACTAGTCCAGCAATAGCTCGGCTTGGAAAGTCTGATGCTGGCTACGATGCATACGATCATCGACGATAGCGTCATCTAACTTGCGCGTCGGACGAATTGGAGCTTGAGCGGGTGAAGTGCTCGCTCCGGTGACCTCAATCACCCATGGTTTACTGTCTTTTTCGACAACGGACATAAGAAGTAGCTTACATAGTATCATACCTTTGATACAGATAATCAATAACATTGTAATGCTCGTCCTCTTCACTCACGATGCAATTAAATCTTGTGATGCTACCTGGTCTGGATCCTGCGGTCCTGATGTTGTGATGAGCATTCGTGTCTGTCCGCCTAGCAGCTGTAGAGACCCTATACGTAAGCCGCAAAGTCGCCTGCGGAGCCTGGTTCTAGCAGTAAATGCCTTTCAAGCTGCCGGACGCGGTTACCTCAGATAGCGTCCCGAGGAAGAAGATATCAGGAGTGGCCGAATGTGCTAGAATGTAACTATTAATGTATGAATGCGAACCAGAACGCTCTTTACCACCAAAACGGCGAAATGGCCAGCAGCTGTGTTTCTCAAAGAGAGGATGGAGGGGGCGATGATCAACAAGGAAACAATAGTTTCAGGTTGTTGTGAGGTGTGTCGGTCGCGATGTGATGGAAGATAGTCTTCGATGACGTATTTCGTATTCAACGGGACATTCGTTAGACATCAGTTCATTCGCAGCACCGCCGCATCACACTTCTATTGGCTGGTAAGATTCCCATGTCGTGGACGTTTGCCTCTACTTGCAGCTGTACCGTAAGTAGAGCCCGCTTGCCACGAATTGTGAAAATGCGAATGTATCCGTGAGGCTGAGGCAAATGCACGGCGATGAACTTGGGGATGAACTTTGGGCAAGAGGATGTGTGTGACTTTTTCCAATATTTAACAGACTATTCATACAATACATACAGGCCCAGTCTATGCTTGGGCAGTCCCAGTCTACGCTTGGGCAGTCTAGACTATGCTACACGCTAGCATGCAAAACACCGGAGTGGAATACAGACGCCAATGCCTTGCCTTGGTATGAACGAACAAAAGAAAACCTCTGCCGAACCGACAGCTTAAAGAACAACCACTCTAGATGTGATGTCTCGGCCCCTCAATCGCCTTGAACGTCGCCGGGCTCGGAGGAACAAGCGGCTCCTTCGTCCCCGTCTCGCCCTTGGGCTCCATCAACCCCGGCGCCTTACCAAACTCTCCGCTGAAGTACTTGTGGAAATCTTGCGGGTCTTCGAATGGTCGTTCGCCGAGTAGCCTGATCATGTCTTCGCGACCAAGCATCTCCTTCTTCAGCAGTTCCTCCGCCACAAGCCCAACCTCGTGCTTCTTCTCCTCGAGCAGGTCGCGGCACTGCTTATACGCCTCGTCAACAATGCGCTTTACCTCAGCATCGATGTTCTTGGCGGTCTCCTCGGAGAAGGGCTTCTGGAACTGCGACTGCTGGTTGTCGTCGTCGAAGTAGATGTATCCGATTTTCTTGGTCATACCCCACTTTGTCACCATGGCGGTGGCCATCTGGGTCACCTTGCGGAAGTCGTCTGATGCGCCGGATGTCACGGTGTCAAAGTGCAGCTCCTCGCTCACACGGCCGCCGAGCGTCATGGCCATGCGGTCCATCAGCTGGTGTACGTTCATCAGGTATGTGTCGCCGGCGGGGAGGTACTGGGCGTATCCGAGCGCGCCTTGGCCGCGGGGAATAATGGAGACCTTGAGGAGCGGGTCGGCGTATTTGAAGTACCAGCCGCAGATTGCGTGGCCGGCTTCGTGGTAGGCCACGGTCTTCTTTTCTTCCGGCTTGAGGACGAGAGATTTCTTCTCGAGACCGCCAATGACGCGCTCAATGGCTTGCTCGAAGTGGACCATTGTTACTGTGTCGGCGGAGTGGCGGGCGGCTGGGACTTGTTAGCCAAGAAGCGTGTTTGGGGGGAGGAGCGAGGGCTTACCGATCAGGGCGGCTTCGTTGACACAGTTGGCAATATCAGCACCAGAGAAACCGGGCGTGAGAGCTGCCAACCTGCCCTTGAGGAACTCAATGTCTTCCTTGGTGATGATCTTCTTCAGATGCACACCAAAGATCTGGCCTCGGCCTTCCATGGTGGGGCGGTCGATGTTGATGTGCCTGTCGAAACGGCCAGGACGCATGAGCGCCTTGTCGAGAACGTCAGGTCGGTTAGTACCAGCAAGGACGACGACCTGCTCCGTTGTGTTGAAACCGTCCATCTCTGTCAGAATCTGGTTGAGCGTGGCTTCTCGCTCGTCGTTGCCGCCACCGAAGTTCTGCTTCGAGCGCGATCGACCGATAGCATCGATCTCGTCAATGAAGATGATACACGGTGTACTCTTGCGCGCGTTGGCGAACAGATCTCGTACTCGCGAAGCACCAACACCGACGAACATCTCCACGAATTCTGAACCGCTCACACTGAAGAAGGGCACGCCAGACTCGCCAGCTGTGGCCTTGGCAAGCAGTGTCTTACCAGTACCTGGGGGACCAGACAGGACAGCGCCGCGAGGGATCTTGGCACCGAGCTTCTGGAACCGTGCAGGGTCCTTGAGGAAAGACACAAACTCCATGATCTCCTGCTTGGCCTCGTCCATGCCGGCAACGTCGGCGAACTTGACCTTGATGTCTGTCTCGTGGTTGAACTTCTTAGCGCGGCTCTTGCCCATGCCGAAGACACCGCCAGCGCCACCTCCACCGCCACCAGCGCGCCTTGTGAAGTAGAACAGCGAACCAAGGAGCAGGATGGTGGGGCCGAAAGACAGGAATGTGCCGAACCAGGAGATCTCGTTCGAGTAGGCGACAGGAATGCGCTCTGAGCTGGGGATGCCGAGCTCGTACTGTGCATCGTCCATCTTGCGCTCGAAGGCCTCGACGGAGCCGATGGTGAAGTAGTAGTAGAAGTTGGAGTTGACCGAGGGCGAGTCAGGGTACATGCCGGCGACGGCCTCGCGGTGCAGGTGGACCTTCGCCTTGTTGCCGTTCAGGATGACAATCTTCTCGACGAGGCCCTTGTCGAGGAAGGTTGTGCGGAACTCCTGCCAAGTGATCTCCTTGGTGTTCTCGCTGGGGATGAACATGCGGTATGTGATCCAGGCGAGGAAGGCCGAGACGAGCAGCGTGTTGGTGTCCATGCCGCCCATGGGGTTGGGCATGCCCCCAGGTCCGCCGGCGCCCTCCTGCTTGCCGTCCTTCTGCCCCTGTGGCCCCGGGTCGTGTGCGCCGGCCTTCTGCTGGGGCTCGTCGGTCTTGAACTGCTGCTGCTCGGCGGCGCGGCGGGCCATGTTGGTCGTCATGCGCGAGATCTTGGCGGCAGTGGCGAGGTCGAGCTTCTCGCCGCGGGCCAGCTTGTCCATCTCCTCGCGCAGCTCGGGCGGGATGCCTGTCTTCTTGATCTCTCCCATGGCCTCCTGGACGGCCTTCTGCTGCGCCTTGGGCACGCCCATGGACACGAACGAGACCAGCTGGTCGAGCATCTTCTCCTCCTCGGGCGTCAGCTTCGACATGTTGCTGTCGGCCGCCGCCTTCTCTTCGGCCTTGCCATCCTTGCTGGGCTCTGGCTGGCCGTCCGTCTTCTCTACCGGCTCATCCTTCTTCTCGTTCTTGGGCTCCTCGGGCCCTGTCGCAAACGGTCGGGCGCGCGGCTGGGCGTACAGACACTGCGGCACGGGCACTCGCCGCCGTAACGCGAAGGCCGTCCTGGGTGTGAATGTGCTGGTGGATCGGGAGAGGCGCGCGAGCTGGCCGGGGGTGCGGCGGAGGAGCGTCGACATGTTAGGTGGGCGTGGGCGCGGGCGCGGGCGCGGGCGTGGGGGATGCAGGATGGGGCGGATGGCAGTGGGAGCGGGTGGGTGATGGGGTGCTGCGCCTGCACTGTCCTACCATGCACCGAAGCTATACAGTATGTATGTAGGATGTTTGGTGGGTGCGCGGTGTGGCAAGCGCCGTGATGGCAAAAGCCTCTGCCGACAGATGACAGCACAGGTCGTGACGCCGTCGAAGCCGTGACTAAGCCCGCCCAATTGAGCCGCGACTCGACCGCGGACTAGGCGCACCACAACCTCCAGCCTCGTCAACACCACGTGCTCTGCCAGATGCCGACTTCACGTTCAACACTGCTCTCACCCTGCAGGGCACCCAATGGATTCAGGTCTACAAGATGAAGTTTTGTCCTTCCGCACTCCCATGCCCCCCGCATCTGAGCTGACGTCCGGACAAGCTCGCCGCAGATCCGAAGAGATGCATGTGAACCTTTAATGAGTTGCATGCAGCCTACAAACCGTGGTTGTGGTGTCAGTCTTGTGCTGATTGGTGGATTGATGGGATGCAAAGGATCACTGTCCTCCTGTTCCTTTTCTCTCCTCGTTTGCTCCTTCCGGATCAAAGTCTCCCATCTGACCCAGTCAGAGCCTCACTATGCACATCGAACGCGCATTCCTCCTCTCCTTCTTCACTACTATCCTTGCCCAATCCTCCAACACAACGTATCTCACAGCCCCCGCCCTCGTCACACTCAACAACCGCACAGCAATCCAATGCTGGCGCCTCACCACCCCGTTCGTGACATCCTCCACGCCCGGCACTAAGGGCGCGAAGGCTGCTGTGATCTCCAATGCCACGAATCTGGGTGCGTTAGCTCAGCAGTGCTTCACAGCTTGGGCTGACTTGATGTAACAGCTTACACGGTTCTGCCACCCCGCTTCAACGGTGGCCTGCATACCGCACCTGTCCCGCAGCTCGTGCACTTTCTCTCCGGACTAGCCCACATCACCTTACCAGATGATCCAAGTCAGGATCTGTGGCTCGTAGGCGGAGCCGGAGGTCTGCTGTTTGCGGCGGATACTACAGGCTCGGGGCATATAACCACGTATCCGAGCGACCACGAGACGGTGGGACTTCTTGCGCCGTTCGAGAGTGGGAGGGTGCCGGGGTACGAAGTGCTCCAGTCGGGAGCGTGTTCAGGGCTGCAGACGTTCATCTAGTCTCTCTCATTGAATCGCCGGAGTAGAGAATCAGGGAGGTTGATGGGCAGATTAGGTGTCTATGTCAGCTGCATGCCCATGACTATGACTATGTGAGACGTGCGTTACCTAGTACTCAGCCATTGGCAGTGTATGTTTCTCCCACGTCCCCTCCTCATCCCCCTCCTTCCACATCTCAATTCCACCCACAACCCCTTGCTCGTTGACATTCCAAGCTTCATTTTCCACCATGCCCAGCCAGTGCGTCAGCACATCCAACAACGTTGGTTCCGCCCACCCTCTAAAAGGCGTGAAACCCATTCCATATACACCACTCTCCATCTTCACCCTCTCACCATCGCTCCTCCGTGCAAATCCATCACTTCTGACGTGCAATGGAAGGAGGAGTGTGATCTCGTCTTCCGTGTTGCGCAATGCGGAGAGGTACAGACCGGAGGCGTAGGAGTGCGTTTTGGAGAAGGGCGGGCCAAACGGACACTCGGGGTCATGCTTGGCGATTTCAACAGCTCTGTTGTAGTAGTTCGAGATGCCACGGAAAGCGGCATACAGAGTTGGCGCGTGCGAATATATGTGGCAGCTTGTTTTGAGGGCGCTAAATATACTGGCTGTGTAGGCAGAGAGCGTGGCTGAGCGTCCGATGGGTTGCGGGTTTGTGAGAGGTTTTCGCGTGGTGTAGATATGCGAGGAGAGAAAGAGGAGGATTGGTGGAAACCTTTCATGAGGACCTAGATCGTCGAGATGAGACCAGAAGGGTTGGGTGGCGAAAGCCGAGGATGTGGGGACAGAGAGACCAGGTGCTATGGATTGGAAGCGGGGACGGCGGGCGCGCAGGAGGAACGTGTATGCGAAGCCGTGGGGTAAATGCATGGCTCTTAGCACGTCTTCGTCGACCAAACCTACAGTTAGTTCTTTATCAGCTGTGGTCGGTTCATTGGGTATGCGGTCTTCGATGGCTTGAACGAGGCAGGTGAATGCATCGATTGTCTCATCCAGAATTGTCTCGCTGTACGGATCTTCGATCCAAGGATATTGAGTGGGAGGCGATTCGGCCTGTGTCGCGTAATGTTGTTCCGGTAGAGCTATGATTTTGTCTTTGCGGATCACGGTTAGCCACGACTCTAGGATCAACTCAAGCGGTCGCCATAACATCTTGTCGTTGAAGTGGTCCTCTTCATCCCAGATGATTGGTAGAAGAATACTGAGGTTGGTTCTTGGTCAAAGCTGGATTCATGTCAGACCGGTTCAAGGGAACAACTGGGATCCCACATCAACCCCAATGGATGACTCTCGAGCTGGTTCATCATGTACAACGTTACATATCTCTTCTCCTCGCCTTCCCCAACGTCGTATTGCCACGTTGGAAAGTCCATGAATATTCCATTTGCATCTACAAGGCTGCGAACGTAATAGAAGAACGAGAAGAAGCTATCGACACGCTGTCGGGCTTATGAGAGGAAGTCAAACAGGTCCAATGAGAGGTCCTTCCGGACAATCTCTGCCTCTGTTGGATCACTGTTGTACCATGTATGGCATTGCGATTCGAAGGTGTCCGCACTGCGGCCTGAGTGGGTCCAGCCGTGGAGAAGAGTTTCGTTATGTAGAGAGACGCAACGCTCAACATCCATGGCGTGTGTTATATCGCGATGTAAGGAGATTGAGTGTTCCTGTAGATGCCATTCTGATGTTGGCTGTGCGTTTAGATAGTATGTGGAATGTACGCCTGAACGCCTGATGGGGCACAGTCGAAGCTAGGCTGAGTCGAGGTGCTTACACGAGTCATGTTCATCAGACGATAGTAATGGTCTGCTTTTCCACATCTTCGAAAAGATTGCGCTTCCTAAGCTCAAAATAGAAATATTCAAGACTCCAGTAGGTAGTAGTTGTTACAATCCTACGTCCCGCAATAGGACGGCAGAAGCAATAAGTAACCACCAACCAAACATGAGGACCTGGGGGAAGGCGCCTAATGGGGTCAGGCAGACTCACATGACAAGCTTGTCAACAAGCAAGGTCACGTCAGCGCTCATCAACAAGCATGACAAAATGCTTGTCAGCAAGCTGTTATGATCAAAGGGCAACCTGCAACAACACTGAACAAACAGGACTACGCAACAATACAAGATGAGCCAAAGAACTGTAGTATTGACTGACCCAAGCAGTGGGCCGCGTTGGCAATACTCAGTATGATCATCACTCTCAGTTGAGCAACTCAAGCGACCCAAGCAGTGAGGCCGCGTTGGCAATACTCGGCACAAGCAATATACTCAGTACGGTCAGTATACTCAGCAGTATACTCAGTACAAGCAGTATATGTAACGACGCAGGCCAGTAGGGAAGATGTCCAAAGTTAGTGTGAGTCCACTACGAGGCATATGGGAGTGCTGGGACGTTGAGAACACTAGGATTGAATTCCCTACACCTATAGGTCTTGTACGAAAGGATACAGAAAAACTGCTCTATCTAACGACTGTGTTGGACTAATTAAAGATACAGTTTGGAGGGGAATCGGAACTACCCATGTCTAGGTGACACGGAGGTAGTTAGCAACAGGAAGGAGAGCGGTGTGCTGAGTCCTGCAGGGACCACACGTTATCGGAGCGCTTTCGGTCGAAGGCGTTACAGTATACTTGGCACAAGCAGTATACTTGGTACAAGCAGTATACTTGGTACAATCAGTATACTCAGTACCAAGCAATCTGAGCAATCCTCTGCTCATGTATATAGCAAGTAGACACGCTGCCCTTATGGCTGTTGAAGTCGTGTCTTAAGCAAAGCTCGTAGACACTATTCAATTAGTTCTCGGGGATGAGCAGAGGTACAGAAAGCCGTTGGGGGTTGGTTATCACTGAGCGAGCTCGGAGC